AATATTAATATCGGGGACATAACCGCGGCAAAATGTAGAACATTGCAAAAGCTCGGGACTGTTTATTGGGTTAGACATTAAATAATTCATGAAGCACCTAAAAGAAATAGAAATACATTAATAAGATAGACGTTTAGTTGTGACAAGGAACCCATTGAACCATCAAAACAAGAACAAATGAAGATAAAGGTAACAAGATCTGAAAATAACATAGAACAATTCCCCATGACCAGACAGATCACAGCAATAAAGTTAGGATAACAAGCAATTGGGAGAACCTAGAAATCTCTGCAGAGTAAGAAGTTGCAAAACATCCAGAAAGTACACGAATGGACAGATATAGGAGAATATCACAGGGTCTTATAATGATGAAAGCGTCGACCGAAGTGTGGGAACCAGTTCGTTCAAGGGCACATCCTGAAAATCTTCTCATTACTTTCAATTTTATCCCTCAAAAACCAGCACACGAAAAAAATGCGAGGCGTTTTGGAAAAGGAAGAACCGGTAAAAAATCATCAATAGTCGTTGCTCACAAAAACAACACTACTACACTTACAAATGGCCTACATTTCAATTGACCCTATTGCACATGAGGGCACTAGGGGGGGGGGGGGGAGTGGGAGAATATTCAAAAATTCGCGGCCAACGAAAATGAGCAAGAAACAAAAACACGAATTTGTACAAGACAAGATGATTAGTAAAAATTTTAAGCAAAGGAAATGGGAAACAATACCTTCAAGGGAATTCGACTCATCGCTCCCTGTGCCCTCATTTTTTACTTTTGTCCAAGATGGATTCAGTTTCTACTTATCCAGGTTGGACCTACGACGAAAATACACGCCATCCTTGTTGGTAAAATTCTCAGTTCGAGATAATGATTATCAAAGCACAAAATTTTCGGCCAAGAAACTACTGCACAGCGTTATCCTCCTTTTACCATTACCGCTGGGGACACTCACATTTCAATAAATGAAACCTCATCACCTTCACCCTCACTGAAAAGCATCACAAGAAATTACAGCACAGGAAGAACAATTTTCCTGATGAGAACAACCCTACCTGCTCAGCTCTTGTTTTAACATTTCGAAGTTTCACCACGCCTTCTTGGAGCTCGCGCTCACCCACTATCAACACTAGTGGGATCAGTCGGTCCTCGCAATACTGTAGCTGGGTGAGCAATTTGGGATTTGCTTTATAAGCTAGCTCAACCTGAAATTAGACAGTGATAAGAAGCAAAACAGAAAGTACAGTATGGCTTCCACAGTACCTTTGAACCCCTCTCATCTCTCATAGTATCTTACAAAGCTCATGCGCTCATTTGTAAAAAATTCTTGAGCACCTGATCTGATTAAATTCGGTTTCAGTGGTCCGACATCTTCCAGTCTCAACGATCTTCAAAAAAATGGCGGTAATAATATACACAAAATTGATTCGAATAAAAATAATTCAACCAACAACCTTGATTTTTTGCTATCATAAAATTGCGAATAACCCGCTTCTGATAACCAAACGATCACATCCCGACAACATGGACCATTCCTGACGCTTCTCCTTTCCCTTAGTACCACTAGGTGCCATGAAGTTGCCAACTAATTCATCATACCTAGTAGAGCATTGAAGGATAAAACTAGGGACCAAGAAAGAACCTTCTGAAAAATTTTACCTTCCTCCGGCGGCAACGGATCCAACGCCTACTGGAAGACCTTTCTGCTCTTCACCATTGGTTTCGAGATTGATACCTTCTAACGCCTCTGAAATACAACTGGAATTTCATGTCCACTATACTGATATGATGCGAATTGGGAGATTGATAGATTCCACAAACAAAGCAACAAAACAAAGCATAGTAACTGACTTGGAACAACAGCCTCATAAATAGCTCCGGTGTAATAATCTAATCCTCTCGCTAACGAAGGATCGAACCGTACAGAGTTAACACCAAAAAGTGAACAGTAGTTCACCAGCACCTTTAATGACTGCTCTTGACATCATTCTGGTAGGGAAGCACATGGAAAACTCACCTTTAATTCTTCAATGCCTTTCTTGAAACGCGCATTCTTCGCAAGTTCTTCGAACTCCATCAATTTGTCCAAAAGCTCAACATTACCCATTGATGGATTAAACTCTATAATAAGCTGAAATTCGGTAATATCGACATATCTGAGTGGATGAACAACCTCTTAGCCGGACGAATTGACCCAACTTTTCGGTGTTCTCTTTTGTCAGTCCTTTCTCCTTTATGAGTTCTTCTTCGACCTATGAAGGAAAATCTATATATAGATCAAAAGATCTGTGGTGACAACTAGTAGTACCTCAACCCATGGTTGTTTATCGAGCTTATCCACGGATGAACAAACAGTTTTGAACTGATCGGCACCAGCTCCGCAGGCAGCAAACATACCTTCGAGGATGAGACGGTGGTTCAACTGAAACGAATTTAGGAAAATCTTAGGGTGAGATAAGAGGACAAACCTAACCACACCAGAAGAATTCATTTCAATTCATACCATTTCATTTCAGGGCGGACATTTTTCAGACCAAAGCTGACCTTTTTCAAGGATATTTTCAATTGCTCCGGCAATTTTTAAATTGATGGTGAACATTCTTCAAAACAAGGTGGACTTTTCAAATCAACTTGGACACTGCCTGAACCGGTCATAATCATTTTTATTTCAACCGTGAATTCTTCTTAAACACGGGATATTACTCCAACAGAACGAAATTTCCTGCTCATTCAACAACACAGCACATTTCTCTGTAAAACAAATGGAATTTCTTCCACAGAAAAACAACGGAAACGGAAAGAACACTGCGAATTAACAGAAGGTTATCTAGCTGCTGCAGACTTCAGATGTACCACCCTGTGTAAAACGTGGCTAGCACTATCTTGCTCAGTCACAGTCCTATCTTAAATGACTGCGCTCAGCGCCTGCTCTACGGCCGCGTA